AGTTGAGATCTAAGCCTTGAACATTTTGAGGCAAAAGGTCCAAAGGCATAAGCCTCAAATAACTCAAGACCTAAGCCTTACTGATAGAGTCTAAGGCTATTGAGGCCAGGCCTTTTTTTCATGGCGTCCCCTCAAGAGAGCCTCTTAAAACAATGTTCTGAGCACACAAAGGATTAGAAAGGGAAATCAAAAGACAACTCGTACAAGAGATAAGAAAACTCAAAAGCTGCCCAAAGAAAGATTTGAACTCAAATTGCCTGATGTCACTTGCACTAGATTGGAGGGTATTTATAGTAGGAGCCGAGGCCTAACAATCAATCCTAAACGTTGATTCAAAGAAATCTGAACAAGCATTGATTTGTAAGTAACTTTTGACCTTTCATTGCTCCTAATAAATCGTATGAATCTTCCCCTCAACATGACCAAATACAAATCCCATCATGATCATAATAAAAATTCTATGAAATTTTCCCTAAATGTGACCAAATACAAATCCCTTAATGATCCCAAGAAGAGGTTATTTAATGACTTTTTAATAACCCTCTTTGGTCTCTAATTAATTGTGGAGTTCCATGCCTGACAAACTTAATGTTCCCGCATCAGACCAAAAATAACTTAAGAAAAGCATATGCTATTGTTATAAAAAAAAAGGAAGAAAAGGCATGCGATTTGTAAAACCTTTGACAAGTTCTTCATTCCTTGGAGTGATTTAAAACCTGGGGAGAAGTTTTAGGCTTGTCCCTAATGTTAGGGGAGGTTTTTAGATAGTTTTTTCTTTTCTTTTTTTTTTTTTTTCAATCATATGTGCAGTATCGATCAAACTTGGTTTGGAAAACTCATGAAATAGAAACGTCTTTGTTGCAGAATCTATCATGCATGAAAGACTAGGTAGTAGGTAGGTAAAAATAAACAAGGAAACTGTGGATCATTTCTGCTGTCTCACATGCATTCCTTGAAGGAAACCCATGGAAAATCTTCAGTTTTGGGGACAGTGCAAATTTTGCATCAGTCAAGAGTGCAAATAACAGTTACAAACAAACATATATATGAAAATTAATATGAACCGGCCGGGTGCAAATTTTGAATCCCATTCAAATTTAATTCATCTTCTCTTTTATCCTTTCTTCCTTGTGTGTGACACGTCCGTTGATCCGATGCCCCTATCATGCAAAAACAGCAGCAAGCATATATGGAATAGAGAACCGCTCAATTGATGCAAAAAACGAGCAGCAAAAGATAGAATAGGGCGGTCCAGAACCACGTGATATTGATTGAAACGTTGAAGAAGATAGATGGATTGAAACGTGAAAGAAGAAAACAACGGCCGGGCTCACAAGGTGGATGGCGTGGAATCAAAGGACAGACACAAATAGCTTCTCTCCAGTGAAAAATGCATGGAAGCTAGCCTCAAGCCTAGCTAGATGGGTCTTTTTCGCAACTAATATTTTGTTCGATCCTTGTTGGGACGAAGACTATGGACTATATATATGTGGAGAATCTTCTACTTTAATTTTTTCTCTATAGCTTTATTTTGGACTTTCAGATGTGATCATGTAATCTTTCTTTTTCGTATATATCTATAAAAGCAGTGAGCCCAAGTATATAAATGATCGTCACCCTCTGTTGAGAGAGAGGTAGCTACTCTGCTGTGTCTCTCTGTGATGCAACGATTCGAGTCCGCATTCTTCTTTATTCCATGCACGTACGTAATCTGATAAAGTTGACATTCCTCATTCCACTGAGAGTCTGAGACCACCCACCTCTTTATCCCCTTTATCCTAGCCCATCTTCCCATCTATCCACGTATGTATCTAGATGTATATTCAAGTATTGCATATATGTCTGCAACTCTGCGTGTATGTATGTGAATTAATTCATCAAGTTGTATAAGTTGTATGCATGTATCCATATGGTGCATATTTGAATTGTATCTATGTATTTATTTTTCTAAACCATTAAGTAATGTTTATGTATCCATCTATCTCTCTTATAGACATATGTAGATTATATTACAGTTGTAATGGATGACATGGATATATATCACAAAACTTGCATCTCGATCGTCTATCCATTACATGTTAATTGGCGCAATGATGCATGGATATGTGCATCATCAGACGGTACCAGACCCTACAACTACACCAACTGGCCTTTCAACTTCTGTTGGGGTGCTGTTTATATTAACTAATGTTCCCATCTCATTTACTTTAGATCATATATGGGCTTTTCCTAATCTGCAACTGTGTGGCCAACCATTGGATTCATAAAATTGCATCATCTATCCTAACACACATAATTTAACCTTTATGTTATTCTCATCAGACAAAGAAGAACAGAGAGATGCATTGATACCCTAGATTCAAGTTGGTGATAAAAGCTCGAAAAAAGGCGAAGTAACCTTTCGAATTTATTAGGAGATTTCTCTAGATGAGATGAAATCTGATCTTAGATATTTAATGGAGAATCATATATTGGAATGATTTGATAAAGTCATTCATTTGATTATTTTTGAAAGACAAACATTAGAGGCAATCCCCATTATAGTACTTTAGATAGCACAAGCAATAATGTTGCAAAATCTATGAATTTATTGACATGAAGTGGTGTTCAATTAATTTGCAGGTTTCATCTTGAAGATTTCCCAGCCAAAAATCAGGCCAATTTGATGATTTGACCAACTACAAGGTTGAATCAATTTGAATGGACAAAAGATGAATAGGGTCATCCAACAAAGATACTATTTAAAAACTTATTTACAAATGACCATAAACTGATTCCATTCTTTAAAAACGAGGACATGAAAACCACATAAAAGACCATCTTTTACAAGATAAAAAGCCAGTAACTATGAACTACCATGTCATTACCTTATATAAAAGGAATAGTTTCATTCCTTTGTGTCCCCACTCCTTTCTGTGTGTGTGTGTCTCCTCTTTAGTTTGTACGTGCCCCTTAGATAGTACACTCATAGTAGTACCAGTTCTACTGAATGTTCCTCTTTAGTCTGTACTTATTCTAGATTCAGAATATTAAATAAATTGGAATTCCAGAATATGAATATGATTCATACAGACAACCCACTCAATGTAAATTGATTTTACATATGTGGTAACTTCCTTACAAGCGGTTCTATATCCATGTGGGGAAAAGCATAATGGTCTAGATCAATGAGAATTTTCAAATCCGGAATTGGTGAAGTTCTTTCTGAATGGAGCTGAAGTTGCAGGTTCCAAGATATGTATGCCTGTAGAATTTAGTTGGGTTCAGAAATAGAATTTAATGAAGAATTTTTAAAGTTGAGAACAAGATAAGGTAGTGGACCTTATGAATGGCTTTTGTGTTACTTTCTCCTTTTTCATGTACCATATTTGATTTTTACGTGTTTGCCATAGAAATCACTGGATACCTTGTTTGGGTGCCATGAAAATGAAATGACTTCATTGTGCTCTTTACAATTTGAAGCAAGAGTCAACCATCCAAAGTGGATCCATTGCTAATTAATGTTAACAAATTGTTTGATACGAGAACAGTTAAAGGCTTAAAGCTTTTTAAAGAGTAATACTAAGCTGGTTTATAGGAACATGATGAACCCCCTATATGCATAAACATGTGATATATCTGAATTTCTTGATATACAAACTCCTTTCAACATTCCAATCATCCTTTGATATCACTCTCTGATATACATCACATGAGAGATGTGAAGACATATCAGTCCTCTCTCCTTGTGTTCAGGAAAAGGATTCAGCACATGTTTGATCTATTTGTGTGATAAATTTGGGAATCTGCAAGTTTTCATCTACTATAGGTGATATCATAGAATCCCTACTTGAATTATTGGGGTTCATCACGGTTCTAGCTAGACACTGGCATAGTATGGCACTTCTGAAATGCATTCATCATTTCTGGTGACTGGTGTGACCTGAAACAAAAAGGCCTAAATGAGCAGCATCGATTAGTTGTTGTAAGAGAATAAAAACCTATTCAGGGACTGCACCTAGCAGATAGCTTAAGCTTTTAGGTTGAGCGGTTCCTTTATATGGTATCAGAACCTGTTTGGCCAAGTGGTCTAGTGTTCGATCCTAATTGCTTCCGTTATGGTTAATTAAATTTCAGGACAAGGTATGGGTGGCCTGTGTTTGTCCACACTTCAAGCTCGATTGGCCTTCACATGAGGGGGTGTGTTAGAGAATAAAAACCTATTCAGGGTCCTCACCTAACAGCTTAAACTTTTAGGTTGAATGGTTCCTTGAGAACCACAGATATTTGGTAAAAGACATTTCTTCCCGTCAAGTGGTTAAGAGTTATTATAGCCAGTTTTTATTGCTCGTTGGCTCAAAAATTGAAAAATTCAACAAAAAATTTATTGTCTTAATTATTAATAAAAATAAGGATCTTCTACAGTGAGAATATAATGGAGAGTATGCTCATCTGATCGTCACTCTAAGAAATCAGAATCCAAATATACAGTGTTGATCACACATTATTGTCTTCCACAGGGAATCCATGGAAGGGAAACTCCTGGAACCAATTCAGGGGAACTTTGATTTTGCCAAGCAGATTTTATGGCTTAGGTTCTCTTCATGGGAATCTTGTTACTAAAAGAGGTCTTCTTCATTGGATAAACCCAAGCCCATCCCCAGCTCAGCAGATGCTCCAAAGATAGCTACAGCAGAAAATCCTCAAGGAGTAAAAGAAAATTCAGGTTCAAAAAATGAACTCATGTCATTAGCTAAGGTAATTAGGTAAAGGACATCTTTGTCATTCCAAAATGTACAGCAGTACTGTTCCGTATGTAGAGATTTGTCAATTACTTGCAATTTGTTATTCCCTAAATGGTCAGATAAAGAGAGGTCCTTGTCAGATAAATTATCAGGCTTAAATATCTAAAAGAACATTCTCTCTTCAGAATTCCCCCTCTAAACAGTGCAAATCATCTCGACCCTTGTATAAATAGGTCCCTTTGGCAGCTCAATTTCATCATCGACAGAGCATTCAAGTGCATTGACAAGTTCCATTAGCTTACCCTCCTCTCAGGACCTCCTTTGCTCACATTCTCTCATATCTCTCATCCAAAAATTAGATATCCTCCATCTCTTGATCACACTTTCAATAACACTTCTACTGGGTTTTCAACTATTTCTATTTCCTTTCCAGTCAGTTTGTTTCAGATTTATTCCAGTTAATCTTCATTTGGGGATGGATAGAGTGATAGGGTTGGCAAAATATGCACCAGTGGTGATTTTCAGTAAGAGCTCCTGTTGCATGTGTCACACTGTCAAGACTCTCTTCTACGAGTATGGGGCCAACCCCACCATTTTCGAGCTCGATTTGGACCCACGAGGAAGAGAAATGGAGAGAGCTCTCCTGAGGCTAGGATGTAGCCCATCTGTCCCAACTGTGTTCATTGGAGGAAGACTCATTGGTGGAACCAATGAAGTCATGACCCGTCAACTTGGCCAATCTCCAAGCCTGAGAGAAATGCTGATAGATGCTCGAGCTATTCATCTTTGAAGGGCTAATTCTCACTATTAAGCTCTGATACCTTGTTATAGTTATGCCATGAACAGTATCGCCTTAGCTTGCTTTTTCATATTATAAACACTTTTTGGTAGTAGCTATAGTAAGATAGGCAAAACATGAATACTCTATAGAGAATGACTCTTGGTTTACTATGTTTAAGTGGTGCTTATGCTTTGCACGTACCCTTCCTGCATTATTAATCAATAAAGTTGCACTTTTCTTAGTTTTAGTTCTTTCTTTTGGAATAAAACTCTTTCTAGGAATCTTTTGATGACCATCAACCCTGGGAAAGAACATTAATTTATTGTGTCCAAATCAAATTTTATAAAGGCTATATATGGTGTTCTAGTGATGTGTCCTAAACGAATATTTGAGCCTAACACTAAGCAGAAACTAATGAGAACTGCAAGATAAATCCTGTTTAAAGAACCAGATGCAGGTCTGTTACAATCTGCATGGTTCAACAATTAGACTTGGAAGTTTTTCCTGTCTATAGAGGCTACAGTGATTTTAGATGTGTGCACAAGACCAAGAATGGAATTATTCTCCTGCAAATGGTTGTCAGAATCATTCAACATAGACATATCAATCTCACTCAAGTAAAGACATCTCCAAATAGTATATAACGGGCACTGAAACACTTGAAAGTTCTATAGACAACGTTCAATTCAATCAATTTGCTTGCTTAATTAAGGTCTATGTGATGAAGCGCGATTTGACTGCTCCCTGTTGGAGGTGATCTGGCTTCCAGTAAACGGCGGACTAGGTCGATCTGCAAAAGAATAATCAGAGAGAACCCGGGGTTGTTTGCCCGGCGAGGTCGCTCCGATGCTTAAGTCAGTATACTTGGCTGCGAGCTGAAAAACATTAGAATGTAGAGAGCTAGAGAGCAGAGAAATCACGCGTACCGTGGGCCTCCGGGGGTAGAGCCTTTATATAGTGAAGTCCTCGCGGGTTTCGCGGAGCGGTTTCGGGATCCTCGTCACGATGAGATCCGTTTTTTGCGTTAATGGGGGATAACTGATAGGGCTTATCAATTCCGCCCGAACTGGGCGGGGATGAGATAAGGCTTATCGTTACGAGGCATGATCCTGCGAGGCTCGGAATCTGACGGTGAGATCTTCGGGGTTGCCATGTAGTGGTCTGTCAGTATTACTCGAGCTAGTGCTCTTTAGATCCGACCTGGGGTGAACGCCGAAGTGCCTTGGAACCGAAGTGGTCATGATACGACCTTACACCGAGGTGAACTTGTCCCGAGGTGGTTTGACTATCCGAACTCGATCTGTTGCGGACTTGGCATGTTGGGCTAGCTGTCATCTTACTAGTTAAGTCGTGTCCATGTATCCCCCTATTACTAGGTCGGGCCAAATCACCCTTCATCAATATGCTATCTAAATGTTGGTTTCCGGCTTCCATCTTAAGCATGTAATTCTCAATTGATTACTATTTCTATCTTAAATCTTAAGCCGTATCCTTCTCAGCCTTCCCTTTGTCTTCTAGACTTCTGTGGATACTATTATTTTCCACTCTTAGGTCAACAGCATCAAGGGCCATGACCTAAACATTTTGAAGTAATTTTTATTTCATAACTTACAGGGGTCGCCCTTAGTTCCTTCATATGCTTTAATTTCTGATCTTGTCCCCCCAAATTTTGTAGTTTACCATCATACAGAGGTCACCCTTATTTTCCTTCTGATGCATTAACTAGATTCCAGCAAATGTTTTATAAAAGTTTTTAGATCGTTTCAAAATTCATTTCCTTGTTTTCAGGGAAGGAATCTATGGAAGTAGGATCTGCTTCTTCCGGATAACTTATATTGTTGATTTATAAACTAGGTAATGGATTTTTTTTCTCCCAAATAGGATTATTAGTTCTGAGAGTGGCAATTCTAGCCAGCCCTACCAATTTTGGCCCAACCCAAAAGTCCTTTACGGCTGGGCCCAGCCTAGGTATCCATACGATTTTTGGATCAGGCTCATATTATAGATTTTAGATTGGCCTGAGATAGCCTACCTTAACCCCAAGAATGCACCTTTATTGCCAGTCAAGCCCAAGCGGTTTAGAGAAACAACCCAGCAATGCTATCTTGGGGACCAAAGGTTTCAACATGCTATCCTCTTGATTCCTAATAGAAATTTCAGAGCCAAAGCCTATTGATGACTTGAAATGTGTAAAAGAAGCTCTTTTATGTGATCAACTCTTAAGTCAGAAGGTAAAAGATACCTGAAACCATGAACTGCTGAGATCTACATTTCTGAATTCTTTCCTAAGGTAGGCATGCATATTTTAATTCTACTATTTCCCAATCTTTTTCCAAGTTGGGGAATGTTCAATTCCCAAACTACCTTTCGTCCAGCCAACAGAAATTAAAAATGCTTCTCCTTTGTTTCTCCTCCCAACTTTACTCCATAAATTTAACACAAATCAAGAATAATTTGAAGCGTGTATATTCTACTTTGATGCTGTACACTGTCACACAACAAAGGGATTCTCCCGCTAGTATGTGCATTGACATATATGATATCATACAATACCTATGGTAAGGACCCAAGTGATTTACTCCTTAAAAGACGCCCATTCTCTGTGTCAATATTTGACCCAGAGGAATTAGTACATGGACCATTTGTTGACATACTGTGTGTCTGACTTGGATTCTGCCAAAAGTGATTCCTAATTGCCTTAAATTTTGAATTGACAGTTGTGAATCCTGGATCAGAAAGTAGATCTTGAACAGCAGTTTGACCTTCAAGCATGCTGACTACTTGAGACATGGTAGGCCTAAGAGTAGGAGATGCATTGGTGCACAAGAGAGCCACGTTCAGCATTACCATAGCTTCTTCTGTTGAAAATTCTGAGCCCAAGTTTGGATCAACCAATTCCAACAGGCATCCTCTCTCTTGCAGAACATAGGCCTGAAACAACAAAAAAAAAGGTTGTTATCTTAGCAAGCCAGAGACTGAATTATGGCCAATGTTCAAGGCATTGACATGCTTGAGTGTCGAGTATGTAAAAGCATCAATTCTCCATTTTTTTTAGTTTCAGAAAATGCCCATCCCACCATAATTAATGCACGCCTACTGCTACTATTCAAACAAGATAGATCACCCAAATTCTCATTATATGGGTTAAAAAATTGATACATATCATATGATACGATATTTTGAACCTTTATTATGGCCTTCAACAATAGAACCATGGAAATAAATAACCATGGGAAATGTCAATTACCCAGTCAAGAAGATACACAAATTCCTCCTTTGGTCTATAATTTGTGTTGCTCTTTCCGCTAACAATTTCCATTGCAACAACACCAAAACTATAAACATCTGCCTTTTCAGTCAAGTAACCACGCATTGCATATTCAGGAGCCATATAACCTCTGCAAAATGGAAATTCACATAAACTTGTCATACAACAATGTGTTCTGCCGCAAAAATTTCAACTAATGTTGCATGTAGCCCAGTCTAGCATGATTAATATCCCCATTTTATTTGGCATAAAGATGTGCATAAGAAATTTTACAATGTTTTTACTTTTGATAATTTAAGTTCTGTGAAGTAGTTGACTGGCAAACTTTTAGATCCCTTTGTAGGAGGAAACAGGATTAGAACCAATTCTTTTTAAGGAAAAAACAATTGCTTTATATAGATTACTTTATTAGAAAATCAGGAATGAAAAAGAAAGACAATTTCTTCATAACAAATGAATAAAAATGTTGCATATGATAACCGAGAAAGTAGAACATCTTTCTATTAGGCTGGTCATAAAAGGCCAATAGCCAATGTTGGTCCCAGCTATTTGGGGTCTTGGGAGGAGTACACTGAGTACTGTCCTAACCTTTGGCATTTTTCCACACAAAGTGGCCACCCTGAAACCCACATTCTTGTTGAAGATTAATCAGTTTTATGATGTTTTTCTGAGTAGATGTTTTATGTTAATTGTTAGATATGAGGTAGGGACCACAATAGTTATGTGAGTCCAAATTTTATTATGTTTTTGAGTCTTATTATGCTGTTTTATGTTTTGCCGCCCTATAAGGGCATAGTTGTCTTTGTACTGCTCTATTATTTTTAGTATAAATAATAAGTGAAGGGGGCGGCCAGATGATTGCTCTCTTTTCTTTTCAACTTCTCTTMTTCTCYTWYTCTCTTCAAGAAACTACTTTTCTTTCATATTTTTTAATTCAGCAGATTTCTATTATTCTCATGCTTGCCAGCCCGAGATTTTACTATTACTCCAATAATGGCCCCTAGGCACACCATAATAAGACCAATTCCATCAAAAGCTAAGACATTGTTACTTGTTTGTTTAGAAAATTGATAAAGGGTTTCTTTGTGCTACCATTGCTATAAAATCATTTACTATCAAAACATGCAATCTTGATTTGACTAATCAGACAATATTATACAAGTTTCTCAATACCATCTGTCATATTTCATAAACATATAAAATCCCTAAAAGCGGCAACCATTTTTTGCCCATTAAACTTGTTAAAACTCCCATCAATACTTTTGTTAGGTATATATGCTTATTTTCTAAAAACCCATTAATGTGAATCAAAACCAAAGTAAATAAACCCATCAAGATATTGCATAGAGATCCTCTGTGTGTGCGAGTGCTTTGGCTTTTTCTTTTTATTTTTCTTGTGTTTTCCCTTTTCCTATGATGTAACTAAGAGGGATGGGAAACATGACTTCTCCTTACAAAGGGATTTTTAATGGGTTGGCAATTTTTTAACCCAACCTGCTAACCCAACCATTAATTAAAGTGTTGGGTTGTATTCATTTAGCTCAGGCTCACTACCAGGTTGGTTAGCCCAATAAAGGGCTTTTTAATGGGTTTGGTTGGGTAGGGTCACGGTTATCCGATGGGTAACCCATTAACTTTGGATATTTCAAGTTTTCTACTCTCTCTCTCTCCCAGACATATCCCATTTTCATATTTTCATTCTGAAAATCTACCTCCTCTCTCTAGCCTATAATCAACTCAGTTTTTCCCATTCAGAACCAGCTTCTCTCTTACCAAGTACTAACCAATCCCTGCCAAACATTAAAAAAAGAATTGAAAACAACAATTGTTCTTCACTTTTGTTTCTTGTGCATGTGAAGACTAACAGATTTTCACTCTTCCACTTCTTCTATTTCTATCACTTTTCACTTGACTTCTGATGAAAGAGTCTTCATCAGTTGGTGTCAAATTAGACCTGTTCACGAGCCACGTTGAGCCGAGTTCAGGCTAGACTTTGCCTCTTTATTAACAGAAAATGTCCAGGCTTGAGCCCTAGCCCAGTATGAACATAAAAATTCTTATGGTGTAATTTAATAAACTAATACATTATATATATTAAATATTATTTATATATTTTTATTATATGTAATATTATTGGGCCAGGCTTTGGCTTGGGCTAGGCTTATTTGAGAAAGCCTAAGCCTGAGCTTGTGGGCCTGAAATTTTGTCCAAGCCTGATTAAGAATGGGTCAGGCTGGGCCCACCCATCAGGCTACCCAGCTCATGCATAGATCTAGTGTCGAATTGATCAGTGGCAGCCTCTTTGCCAAGGAGATGGAGCAACTCTCTTTTTGGTTACGGACACTCTCAAGTCCTTGTCTTCATCATTTCTCTCATGAATGGAAGATTCATCCTTTGCTCATGCTCTTGTTTAGCTTTGTCATTTACGGTTCTGCAAACTTTTGTTTTTTTTTTCAATTTTGTATATCTGTTTGTAATTTTTGTAATATTTTCTTGTTTTTTGGTTATTTTTATTTTCTATGTTTTGTTTATAATCTTCGTTATATTTTCCTATAATTTTTCTACGTATTTTTTATTTTTTGCATTTTCTGTAATTTATGTTATATTATTATGTAATTTATGTATGTAGGATTAATGTGTTGGGCAGGTTGGGTTGGGTTAAGGCAGGTATGGGTTGAACCCAACCCATTTAAGTTTTCCTAAATGGATCATTTAGTGAGTCAGATCGGTTGGGTTGAAGCTCAACCTAAACCCACCCATGCCTGCCCAATTGCCACCCCCCTTATCCATACATAGCGTACAACCAATGTTTAAATATGCATAGGCAAAAGACAAGGTGCTAGGACCAACCTTTAGATGCATGAAGCATAACCCTTGAGGTATGATGCTTAAGTCCCATGGGTTATAGAATTTTCAAGAAAAATGACAATCAAACTTTATTAGTATTGTGATAAAGATGCTGTACAAATAGGAAAATCCAACATTTCCCTCGTATTGGGCCAACACCTGCTACCCACCCATACACTGCCTTTTTGGGAAATAAAGCATCAGTACATTTGCTCCCTTCCCACTCCTTTTCTTGCAGGAGAATCAGCCACACAATTGGCTGATCTTGGTACCCATCTATAGTTAATTCTCAAATCTCTAGTCATCATTTTAATGTTTCTCATTGCATGTCTATACTGCCATGAACCTCCATTATCATTATTATCATTTCCTAATCAACCAACAACTACTTGAGAATAGATGGCGGGTGTTGTTCACATTCGATCAGTATTCTGATGTAGTTTCAACAGGAAAACCAAAAAGAAATAAGGGAAAAAAAGAAGAAAGAAGAGAGGAAGAGAAGGGAAGAGAATAGAAGAAGAATGAGAAGAGAAAAAGGGCACAGATCTTAATTAGTTTCTGCCGCCCAGAATAAGTATGTATATGCTTCTAGTATAACAAGATCTACAAAGACAACTATGCCCCTGCCGCCCAACACACTCCTCAATAACCAATAACAGCAATAATAGTAGGCCCAGTAAGCCCCAGAAAGACTAATAACAAGGCCCAAAAGACTAATAACAGATAAATAAAAAAAGACAACTAATATGGCAGGGACTTCACTAAATTACTAGTCTATTTCTCTACAAGAATCATTTTCCACCATTATGTTACTGAGATTTAGAGACCTAGCCAATCTTAAAACCATATTGGACTACCAAAAGTTCTGCTCTAGTGGAGTTTGCCATGCCCAATGGAGGCAGAGAAAATTTCCAATAGCATGTTCCTCATGGTTTCTAAACACAGCTCACTCCTTTCAAGAAAAAAACATATATTAAAATGAGGAAGAATACAATGAAATGCATAAGATAAGTATATTTTAATACATGTGTTTTTTAGTCTCACAAGGATGCAAGCCTTTGTGATTTTTAAAACACTGCATACAATCGCTTGTGCCATGGCATTACATGTACTTTATATTTTTGTGTAAATGTTGCTTTTATTTAGATTTCTTGTCTAATTATTTCATAACCAATCATTTAAAGTTGATTCAATTGCTTGGATGCTTGCTATGGCCATAGCATTATGAAGATCATAATCATATTTCTTTAATTTTGTCAATAATAAATATAAATGGCAAGCCATAAATTGTTCCAGTAATAAAATAAAACAAAAAAAGGAAAAGAAGGATAAAGAGAAGGAAAAAGAAACAAAAAATGATAGGGAATACAAAATAAACTCACATTGTTCCAGCTACCCGAGTGCTTATGTGGGTATTATCACCTTCATTGAGCTTTGCCAAGCCAAAGTCGGATATTTTTGCATTAAGATACTTGTCAAGCAACACATTGCTAGCCTTAATGTCCCTATGCACTATCTTCAACATTGACTCTTCATGGAGATAAGCTAGGCCTCTAGCTATGTCAATACAAATCTTGCGTCTACTTGGCCAATCCAATTTCAATGCAGAAGTTGCACCCTGACCTACATATAAGCAACCATCCATTTAATATTTTAAATATGAGCAAGTATGCTTAATTAGTCAAACATGCAAAGACATCTGCAGAAAGATTGGTAGCCGAAACTTACCAAAAAGAGCACGGGAGAGGCAATTGTTTTCCATGTATTCATAAATCAACAATAGTTGGTTGCCTTCAACACAACAACCATAAAGCTTTACAAGATTTGGATGTTGTAATGCAGAAATCATACCGACTTCATTCACAAATTCACGAGTTCCTTGCTTAGATTTTGAAGAAAGCTGTTTCACTGCAATTACTGTTCCATCGGATAATAGACCCTACAATAAACAATGACAAATCTCAGAGATAATCAAATTACTGCATTCAAGCAAAGAAATAGGAAAAAGTAACTTATTACAGGTAAGCACTTAGAGTAGCACCAAAATGAAGCACTTGCTAATGAAAATTGACTTATTCAAAACATTTTCCTAAGTTCACAGACTTCAAGGATTGACTTGTTAACAACAGTCAATTTCAAAATGATAAAAGCCTTTAATTCGTGTGAAATTGGAGAATCGCCTTATATATAATTCCACATGATGAATACTGTAGATAAATACAAACTGCCCATTCCTGATAACATGTTAAAAAGGTTTACACCAATGCAATTGGATATTAAGACCTGGTCCTGGTACTACCCAAACCAATTCTACCCTTATCACCCATTTCCTATCAGAAGCTTTCACAAAGCTATTTTCCAATCTTGGGACCCATATGAATGAGCTATCCAGATTTAAGTCTAAGCCTTTTCTTCTCAAATTATAAACCTAAGAGCCCAAGGGCCTTCCAATTTTTAAGACAGGCTGATGACAACTTGGTAGTTTCCTTCCACATTCAAGCCATTCCAACCTGAAAAGAAAGCTGGTTTAAGGCCTTGGAAGAAAGTAAGAAGTTCTGCTCTAAGGTTGTATTTGGTTAAATAGAAAATAAGAGAGAAACGTGAAGTGGAAAACTGTACTATTTGGTTAAGTATGTAAGGATTTTAGAATTACTTAGAATTTTTCTTTAACTTTCTGCTTCTCTCTTATTTTCTATAAAACCCAACATGGAATTAGGGAATTTCCTTTCCCAACTAGATCCAAAAAGCTTAAGCACTTGCTTTTCAAAATTTAACAAAATATATTTGGTTATAAATTTTTGAGATATTTTTATAATTTTCTTTTTATGTTTGCCTAGCTTTTGATGCAACTCAAATATGAAGAAAATGGAAGAAATTTTGCTCAAAGAAATAGAAAAAAAAAGAAGAAATTGGATGGAACTTTGTTAATATTAAGTTAGATTACAAAGAGGAAACAAGGTTTGGGGACTCACACACCTAAGAGGATTCTCTCAATTCTCAAAATAAAGCTTTAAGATTTACAAAACAAAGGAAAGAACTTGATGCCTCTAGCTTGAGATAACAAGGCTTTATTGAGAGAACAAAAGCTAGCTATTGGGGCATTAAAATGAAAAACTAGCTGTTGGAGAATTTAATGAAAAACTAGTTTTTAAAGATTTTAATGAAAAGCTAGTTGTTAATGGACTTCTAACATCTAGTTTTTCATCAAAAGCTCTAATAACTATTTTTTCATTTAAAGCTCCAACCTAGAGACACCAAGTTCTTTCCTTTGTCTTGTGAAATTTAGAGCATTCTTTAGAGAATTGAGAGAATATTCTCTTCTGTGAATGAGTCCCCAACTCCTTTGTGTCGGTGAATCCCCAAGCCTTGTTGCCTCTTTGTAATCCAACTTATATTAATGAAGTTCCATTCAATTTTCTTTCTTTTTCTATTTCTTTGAGTAAATTCCTTTCATTTTCATTCTTCATATTTGAGTTGCATAAATTAGCATCTGAGATGCATCATTTTTTTATGAGTAAATTTTAAATTTTATTAATTATAAACAGAATATGTATAAACAAGTCAAGCATCCTATGGAGAGGTTAGTATCCTAATAGTGCACTAAGAAACAAAAATTTGAGAAAATGCAAATAAGATTATCCCATAGCAAATTAGAACGAGATGATTTCTTACAATTTTCACCTCATAATGGTACTTAGAGAACATTTAAGATATAAACAAACATATAAAGTCCAAGGAATAAGTACCTTGTAAACTGAACCAAAGCCACCTTCCCCTATCTTGTTTGCAGCATCAAAATTCTTGGTTGCAGCTTTAATCTGTCTTAGGGTGAATATTCCTGTTTGTAGATCTATACCTTTAAGCTCTGCTCATATACAAAACTAAGGTCAATATTCAGATAAAATAATTTAAGCATTGTGATATCTTTCTACTAGTTAAAAATGTTTAATTTTCCATGTTTCGATTAATTTAATAGTTTTGATCCAAGTCATGAATGAATTTATTTCCTCTCCTTACTAGCTCATATATTTATTGCTACACAGAAACCATGCAATTAAACCCACATTATGATGGTTGAAATTCACAACCATGACACAAAAATATGAATTTTTGGCATGCACCATGGCTAGGAGTGCAACTCAGGTTGCCTGAGTTGAAGAATTTCGACTACATTGGGCTCAAGTTCAGGGTCAACCCAATCCAACCTTAGTTGCACACTTGCACCCCCAAATACAGCCTCAACATTTATAATTGAGACTTTTAGAAACAATCTGAAGATCTTGGGATCTCAAGATTAAATGGGATTCATATGACAAAAGAATCTTTTTGAAGTATTGTAAACATAATTTTGCTATCATGGTAACGTGAATTGACAACTGAGAACATGAAAACCATAAATAGATATGGAAAACATACCAAAAGAAAGAATAATATTCTTTGTTAAATGGAAAAAAGAAAATGCAAATCAATCACCAAATTGACTCACAGAAATTCTTCATTGTTTTCTCTATAGCACATAGCAACACCATTTTGAGAATGCACCTCTATATACAGGTTTTCTGTGAAGAAATTAATTTGCTTAGGCTTCAATGAAAAAGAAAAGTATTATCTTTTATGACAACTAATATTGGGATGTGATGATAACAAAGATGCTGATTTTCCCATTATTAAGATCTTGAGGGTTTTCATAAATTTAAAATGGTTTCATGCTTGCCACATTAGTAGATCATTACTATAGAGACAAGTGGTTTCGGAGTACTGTAAACCTTTCATCAGTCCAAGATGTATTTATTTCACTTTTGTGTTAAATGGGCATGTGATAATTTGAAAAGAGACACTTGAAGCACAAAATAGGTTTCACCATAGTTCAGGTATTGCAGGAATTGTACCATTTGAGTATTCCATACCTCTATCCATGGAGGCTTTTCCACCCAACCATCCTTTCCTCCAAAGGATACCCAAAACTAAGAAGATGAGAAATGCTGCTGAAGCTAAGACACTGGCTACAACTATGACAGATTTCTTCTTGCTACCAACTGAAGGTGGTTTGAAGTCTGTGAAAAAGAAAAAGAACAGAGAAAGATCAATGACCAGAATGGCATGACAAAATGCTAGATGAAATGTGAAGTGGTTTTCTGAATTTAAACAAAAAAAACATTAATTGATTAATTCAAAACATCAAATATCGACTTAAAAGGAGAACCGTATCATCAAGAAAACAGGTCATCCAAAAACAATCACTCATACTGCTTCAATTTCAAACTAGAAAATTTTCTCAGGAAATTTCTACCTTAGTAAATCATTATTTTCTAACTTCCACTAGGTTTTCTTGCTTAAGTTTTTTTTTTTTTTTTTTAATTTTTCGTGTTCCTGTTCCCTGTTTGGATAAGTATCAAACTGAATATTTAAAGGTGTTTCTTGCAAAATCAGATAGGCAGCAAGTGAAGGAGCTATCACATAAGATGAGTTCCTAGCAAAAAATCACATAAGATGAGTTGCATTTATTAATCTTCTGGAAGCATTAGTGAATGTCATGCACTATAATGTTATGGGCGAGATACATAGTACCATTGTCTCTGCATCTCACCATATTTCATGGTTTATGCTTAATAAGTTAGAATCAGATTTTTCATTATTTGATTAGATTTGGTAAGCTGCAGTTTTCATATTTTCTTAGGGTTATGGTGAATGTAATAATCTATTTAAATCACTCTCTTGTAAGACATGCCAATATGCAACGATCTAATTATCTTTGTTCCTCATCTTTTAACTACTCGCCCTATTACATATTCCTTTCATCCTTTTATCTATTCCCATTTTTTCAAATGGTATCAGAGAAGTTGATCAGCTTCTGCTTGTGTTGATTTCACCTTTATTCCTCCACCTTCCAGTGGGCAATGACCATGCTGCTTATCAGGTCCATACACCCGGCCGTAAATGGTTTTCTTTTCATTTTAAGTTTATTTTATTTTGTCCTTCCTATTAGTTTGATTTGAACTCCCTAGATTTTGTTGCCTAAAGCTATTTGTGGTTGTTGTTGTCATTTTTTGTTTTCTGAATCTATTCATATTTGTTGATGCTCAATTTAATAGAGACCACTTTATGAATTGTCATCGACTCCACCAACATTATCTTTATATGCTGAATCTTTGTATGATAGATATTGTTGGAGATTTTATCTTTCAAGCCTCTTTTTATTGCCTTGATGTGATTTCGGAAGAAGAATGAGTTTAAGTTTCAGTTTACTCTTCAGCCTATAACAGATGGTTAGGATTTTGTTTTTCTCGTCCAGATTCTCTATTCAGCCTAATAAGAGGATGCTTTGGATTTGGTTTCTTGCTCCAAATTTTGTTTTCACCCTGTTGAGGATGATTTAGATATGGTTACTTGGAATGAATTCTTACTTCATCCTATTGGAGGAAACCAGTTTTTTAAAAGGCATCGGAAGCACATGTGATATGAAAATACTCTGAAGCATAATGGAGGCAGACACATGTGAGGCGAACACCTCTAGTACAGAAGCATATAGAAAGGTGCCTCGTTTGAGCTTTATACAGTACATATATGACTCACATATTTTCCCTTTTAGCTTACTTTTTAAAAATAAAAATATTATAAATATTTGGGGGCACCACTTTAAAATGCACCTCACTATATATTAGATAATACAACGGTGGAAAATATCTCCTTGACCATCAACTATTTGTCTATTTGAAATTTTGAATTTGACAATTTGACATTGATTTATGGTGGTATATATCATGCTTAAATAACGATTTTTTCTTTGAATGTAATGGCTTTTTATTAGAAATTATATAACTATAAAATTTTCTAATTTTTTATTCATTTTCTTTTTTTTTTTGGGGGGGGATTCCCTATATTTTTAATTATTTTCTATTATTTTTAATTATTTATTAATTAACAAATTTGTGCTCAGGAGGCTTACGCCTCTTGGGTTCTGGTTTATAACTCATGCTTCAAGTTAGTGAAACGCCTTGTGTCATGCATCTGCATTTTAAAACATTGGAAGTTATTAGACGTTGTAATCTGCCTCGGGTTCTTTTTATAGGTGTCTTTTTTTTGCCATGAATTGTATCATGCAGCCTTTTCTTTAGGATTCAGCTTATTATCCTCTTTGAGGCTTTAAGCCCATTTAAGCTGTTTGTATTTGTTACTTAATTGCTATCTTTCTTCCATTAGGCAACAACTGGAATTTCATCTTCATCATACTTCATGTTACAAACAGAAGTAGTTTCAAGAAGAGTTAACTTCTCTGAAAGTAGGTAACATCTTTTACTTCTAGGGAAATTTACATTAACCAAGTTCTATGGTAGTAGAAAAAGTATTTTTCTATAGGACGTTTTCATTAGCATCCCTTTGACAGCATGAAGAATTTACATGGAGGCAACTTTTGTCAGTGACTCGTGATGTATTTGTTTCCAAATGAGTTTTAAGGGGAATATTAGGAATTTACATTCATCGCAATGAAATGAGTGAGATAGGTAATGACATTGTCTATGTATCTCATCTTATTTTATGGTTTATGATTAATAATTAGGATTAGATCTGTTAAGAATTGCTTAGATTTGGTAAGCTGTTTTCATATTTCCTTAGGTTTACAGTAGATATAATCTTCTTTTTAAATCCAATTGGATTTTCTTCTAGGATATACATCTAATTAATTCTCTTTTACCAATATAACGGTAAGAGAACTCAAGTGTCCTAGGCCTAGATATCTCAAATTTTAGAAGTTGCAATATGAAAAATATAAAAGAATAGAAAGTGAGAAACAAGGAAGCAAGTAACTTACTAGGTTCCACTGATATAGCTGATATGAGAGGACCATAGACTCCTCGAATTGGGATTCCAGTTGTCCCTTTTCCAGCCCAATAGAAGTGGATCTCCAGAGTGCTATGTGTCACATTTGCAATAAAGGTCCTCTGAATTGGTTTACCAGGTCCACCAGCCTCATTTTCAATATTGAAATCTTTTAAGACCAATTTGTCCTGAGTTCATTGAATTTAAAAGATTTAATATTCATCAAACTAACAAAAAGGGAAAAGAAATTTAAGTATAGTTTAATCACCTGAATGTATACATCAAATATACGCTTCCCAAGACTTCTGAATGTACTATCATTTGTGAAAACAATCTCTGCAAAGTGGAGTTTCACAGTGTAAATTCCATCTATGAGACACAGCCCATAGTAGGTCAGAGAGAGAGGAGAAACACGTGCTGTTTTGTACAATTCCAAACTCAGAATGGAGACATTGGAGAGGGCAGATTTGTTGGTTTCAATGTAGACATCCCCATCAACATCATTATCCATGAAGTTCCCTGTGCTACTAAATGCCCAGTTTTGACCAGAGTAGAACATTGAAGCACCTCTTGCTTCCAGATCTCCTTCATATTTGGTGTGGTTTATAATTGTTTCCTTTCCTCCACAGTTAATGTGCAAGCTATAACGATCTGTTAAGGTGTCTAAACATGTCAACAAGGGTTTTTCTGAAGAAAAAATTGGCTAAAAGTGGTAAAAAGATTATTTAAGTCATGCCATGTGTAGCGTCAAGTACGTTCTTGGTATAATTTACTAAATGCTGGTTTCTTAATGTTAATTTATATAGATTTTTTTGGAAAAAGAAAAAAAAAAGGAAAATGAAAGGAAATTATTAATATAAAATTGATATAGCCTTGAGCTATTTCATCAATTTAGTTGAGATACCAGTCATGCTTTGAACTTGTTTTTTATTCTATTTTGTCTTTTTAGGGGCCTTTCTTTGGTGCAATGATAAAATCAGAGGATGACAAGCATGAAAATGCATGTTCAAGTCCAAGAGCGACCACATGTTTTGCTTTTGGCCATGTCAATAACTTTTAATTCGAAATATGGCTTTGGTTATGTTTCCTCTATAAATTTTCTGGTTTCATTAAACTGCTTATCTGTCAATTTATTCAGTCAAATTGCCTGACAATCATTAATTGTTATCTGCACATTGATCGATATTAGATTTAGAAGTGAGAAAGTTAATCATTATCATAGCAATTAGAAACAGTGTTAACTATCGAGAAACATATCTTCAAGACAGAAACTTCTGATCTTAAATCCATAATGATTTACTCACGTTGACTTGCAGGAGCAGAACAGGGGAAGTTCTTCTTTAGGCATGTATGAATTCTACTTCTACGTTACAATAGCAGGAACAGAAAATAAGGAATATCAGTAAGTTGTGCATAAGCTTCAATATTGAGGTAAATACAGCAAGATCAAGAATTACTGTTCATTATTTAGAGGAATGGTCAATTCTCAGAAAGTTAGGAGGGCACCAGAATCTTACGATTTGTCTGTTATTGATGAGTAGCTTTCTACCAAGTTTCTGGAGAAATTGGTGAAACAGTCCTAGTTAAGACTTAAGAATGAAGTAATATAAAGCCACCAATAAAAGAAAAAAAAAATTGAATTTCACTTACACGCTTCCTCGAGGACATTCAACTGGACCTGAGCTTTCCCATGTGAAGTTGTTATAAGAGATGTCACTACATGTCAACAAGAAGGCAAGACATCAACAATATAAGAACATATAAGCTATATTAATTATTATAATCATGCTAATTGTTTTTCTAATCAAAATAACAAATTAAGTGTTATTGATGGATTGGAAGTTTATCCTCATTTTCTCAAGAGAAATGGTTGGGTTGGTATAGTTATATGTCTGTGAGGTAGCATTGTATGGTTAGGTAGACAGCTTGTATGGCAACTCGTGCTACCATATGGCACTGTAGATTCCTATTCGAACAAGACTCTCTTCAATCTTATGAATCCGATTTGTGTATTGATCTAATCTCTTGGGCAATCAATTAGGGACCTACGAATCCCATACAAACCAATCAACCTCAATAATTGATTCCCTTTTAAGTGTTATTGATGGATTTTAAGTTTATCCTCATTTTCTCTAGAGAAAGAATTGGGTTCAATTTAGAAAAGCCTTGTACTCCTCTAGCTCAAATTAAAACTTCTAGAAGTTTATAAGGTCCTATTAGGTTTTTTTTGATAAGCAGGTCCTCTTAGGTTGAAGAAGTTGAATTAATTAGACATATTTAAGTTAGAGCTTAAATTTAATCCTTGGGAGGGCAGAGCACTATAGTAAACTTTAGGAAAACCCTAAATGTTCTTCTGAATATTTGGGATTGGTGATCTTTTTACACGTTGAAGCACCATTAAAAAAGATCTTTTCCGAATTATTTGAGGTTGGATTGGGTCTAAACACCATTAGAAATTTTTTACCTCATGGAGGTTCATAACAGGTATTCTTCCTAGATTACAACTTAAATGATTGAGGAAATTGGACATTCTACTACTTAGAAATGTTCTAATTCTAAGAGAACATCCTTGGGGGAGGGATATCACCCTATGAGAAGAGCATATATCTTTCCTCTTGGAGAAAAAATTGAAAAGTAGTTTTCACCATTATACTTGCACTCCAACCTTTGCAGTTGTCATATTGGCCACCCAATGTCATCCTCTGAAGATATCATCAATGGATGGTGCACATACATCCAAAATATTTACCCAATGTGCTACTTTCATTACTATTCTCAATGTTGTCACCTTGAGTTTTACCTCCCCTTAAAATTCTCTCTTTCCATTCTTCCCATATAGCCCACAATATGGCTACCTGGAAACTGCACAGTATCTTCACCCTCCTTGGGTAGTCCTCAATTTATCAGCTATAAAAACAGGAAACAGAACTCAATTTGTTCTAAGGTTTTAAAAATGGATAAGAAAAAGAGGCAATAAAGAAAAAAGTTTTAAATTACTGCAAAAGAAAAGATAAAAAAAGCTCCAAATTTGAGATGATGCATAAAGCATATGCATAATATTCAAGCATAAAGAGGTAAAAATAAACTTAAAATTTGTGTTGCAGATTAAGGTGAAGGAATACTCATTAGGAATATTACAAACTTAACTATGGTCATAAAGGACACCAAAGGTATTCAACTTGGATCTATGACAAAACCTAAATTTGCTTCTTCATGAAAAGAAAATCAGATTGCAGGTGGTTGAACAGATAAAGGAAATCTAATGCCATTGAATAGTATCCTTGAACAGAACAGATTAAAACATTGCTCTATTATCAGATTTGATTTACACAAGGGTACATTAAGTTTGTTACAAAGGAAACTAAAGTTTGGTACTTCGATTCTATTTTGTGTGTACCATGTAATTGTAGCTGCGACGTCATGCTTCTAGTGTAGAAAATCAATCAATTTAGCCACAGGCTTGAGACTGTGGTTGAATTGACAGGCTGTAAGAAAGGTATACAGAACAACAATCTTATAGTTTCAATGGGTGAAGGACACCAACATAACCATAGTTTTCAAGGCTCCAAGGCAAGGCTAAGTGACAGCGGAGCACCTTGTTGCCTAGTTGCCTAGGCGTCACCTAGGCAATGGATTTTTAAGTAAGAAACATATATCCTAGGGTAGTTCCTTAGGTTCCATAACCATATCTCCTTAATAATTATCCATAATTTTCATAAGAAAAAATGAACTTCATGTTAAAGTATAGAAAATCAACATATTCATAAGAAAAAGAAGAAAGAAAAGAAAATTCAAAAAATATGGGGACTGGACCCCTATTTTGTTATAGGAAAAGAAGAAGAAAATACAGCATTTATCAATGCTTGTGTTGATTAAACCCTAACAAATAAGAAAATAATAAATGGAAATTAGTATATAAACACACAAAATGAATATTTTAGTTTAATGATGTCTATTTTATAATTGTAATCTAAAAAAAATTAAGAATATAAAAGTATTTTATAACACAATATACAAAACTACTTGGTGATTAGGCAAGGCGAGCCTCCAAGGGCGCCTTGTCACCTAGGCATTGCCTTGATGGATATGAACATAACATAATTCTTCAGTCTACATAATCAGGAGATTGGCTTTGATCAAATTGGAACGGAATTCAATCACTAGGATACTCTAGGGGTGCAATTTGGGCTGGCTTGGGTGGGTTGAACATCTGTTGACTTTTGAAGGGCTGTGGCCTTGGCGGAAATCTTCATATCAGATGCCTGATTTGCACCCCCCAAGTTTCATCCTTGCAGCTATGAACCCAAATAAATGGTGGTTATGTTGTTTCAATGTTCATGACAAATGAGTTGCAAAGGTGAGCCCATCAAAATCTCGAGAACAACCAGATTTATCCTTGAGTAAAAAGAAATGGTCAGTCAAAAAGGTTAGTTGTTGCCTATATCTTAACTTGGCAAAACATGATATAAGAGTTTGACCATTGAATGGTGATAGATTGATAAAAAATGATGAGGTTGATAGGGAGGCATCCTCCATGATTTTGAAGGTGGATTACAGATAGATTTATATTCTACAATCACCCATTTTTCTTATGTAAATAAATCTATCATCCATATCCTGAAATCAGAAAGAATAATAATATCCTCTGATCCTCTCTTTATTGATATGGTGTCGGATATAGAGTTTACACTAAAAACTGAAGTATCCTACATGATACAGAAACTTTCTATATGTATCCAGGCACAGATGCCCTTCAGATATTTGGCCAATTTAAAACTTCATCTTGCATCAATACTAAACTTTGAATCTTGCAAACCTGTATAACAGAAATTTGAAGTGAGAGTAAAGAATGTCACACATCCGATTAATATGGCAGTGAAGAAAACTAATATCAAGTTATTGACTAGTTCAGCACATCAGAAAATCTGGACCACATTTTGGTCCCTCGTGACCAATACAAGTATAAAACAACTATATGTTTCCAGTCACCTCTTAAAAATAATGTCAAACAGGTTCTCAGGCTAACCATCAAGAAAATCAATGACTTTAAAGTATCAATAAGAAAATATTCTTTAAATCTTATCAGTGTCTCTGCTCAGTAAAAATGGATCTAGAATTGTAAAACATAGCCATCAGGAAAATGCACATACACATTCTTGTTTCTTCCAAGGATCCATTCAGGTACTGGTCCAGTCAGCTTATTTCCAGTTAAGTACCTGAAGGAAGTGAACAATATCATATCAGTATCAATGAGAACAACCATTGTTTCTAAAATTAAATTTTTTTCATAATGTCGACTCACATAAAATCTGCTTTCCCGAGTTTGGAAAAGGATTCTGGAATTTCACCGGACAAGTTGTTAAAGCTAAGGTCTCTGCATTGGGAAAGCACCATGCTTGTGAGATCTATATAATGATCCAAGTAAGATGGACTATGGGTTGCATCTATTCACATGACATTAATTAAATATTTTAGTAAAGAAAAAGTTGTTAAAACTTTCTTTATCTTGATCACAGAGAGATCAAGATAAAGAAAAAGTTGTTAATATCTTCACATGATATTAATCAAATATTCTATGTTTATCTATTTAATAACTACATCTACATAGGTACATCCTGATTATTTTGTCTCTTTTTCATCTTTTCCTTCAAATCTCTACAAAAGAATATATATTCAAAATTAAGAATAATGGCATAAAAACAACCCATAAATTTTTAAGGGAAGTATTATCTAGACAAGAGTCAATTACTTACAAAGTTTTCAGCTTTTTCAAATCACCAATATATTCAGGAATATTTCCAGAAATTGAACATTTTCTCAGTATCCTGCATTATTTACTGGAGGTTAAAGTTTCATTCTAGTAAAAGTATAAGCAACTAAAGCTATTAGAGAAAAAAAAAAAGACATAATTCTTAACTAATTAAACTCACAATATCTTCATTGACTCCATTCTACTCAATGGAGGGAAATCTGATCCTCTCCCATTTAAGTCACTGATTCTCCTAAACACAAGGAAAGCATCAAGAGTGAGCAGTCAATACCAACAAGTCATTATGCAATGATTAAATACCACCCAAAGAACCCAGAATTGAAAACATTTAAAAGAAATAAATAAATCATACAGATCAGTTAAGCTCGTCAATGCAGAGATGCTGGAAGGAATAGGCCCTTCAAGAGAGCAGCCTTGTATATGCCTGCAGAAACAGGATGAGAAAATGCAGTCAATAATATATATGCTATACAATTTCTTTAAATTTATTTACTTGTAAGTAGAGGAACTTCTTACAATTTTTCAATCTGCTTCCATCTACTTATGAAATCAGGTATCTTTCCAGAGAAATTATTGTCGTTTATCCTCCTGAAAAAGAAAATGATCTCCAGCATAAATCCTAGACAAAAACAATCAACAGGTTAAATAGGCAAGAGTGTTACTCACAGATCAGTGAGATTGGTCAACTTGGCAAGGGCAACAGGCAACTCTCCTGTGAACTTATTTGACGATATGACACTTTATAAAAGATAGTTATAACAACATTAAAAGTTAAAAGGTCATCATTCTGTAATAATTATACATCAATTTAAGAAAAAAGGAGTAATAAACATAAAGGTGAAAACCATTACAATTTCTGTAAATTGATTAAGTTTCCAATCTCTGGAGGAAGGACTCCTGAGAAACGGTTTCCTTCAATGCTCCTGCAATTTGCATTTTGTCAAATTTCCATTCAAATAAAATGACCCAGAAGGAATTCAAAAGTCAAAATCAATCTATAAAAATGAAACTCCAATGAGAAATCACATCATACAGGTTTCGGAGGGTTGTGATGTTTGTTAGTGCTTTTGGGAATGAACCTGACAGGCGGTTTCCCATAAGAGAGCTGCATTGTTACCGAGGATTAGCACTGTTCCGATTAATCAACCATTTTTCAATCAGTAAAAAACAATGAAGTAATGAAAACTGGAAGCTTCATGGGTGCTTACAGGTCGAGCAAGCTCATGGTAGCCCATTTTGAAGGTATAGAACCACTGAGAATGTTGCGACTAAGGTCACTGTACGAGAGGAACCAGCATATGATTACTATTTTCACGTAAACTGTTAAGTTTATAGAAAAGAGGTATGAGTTTCCAAAATGAAATGTAACCACGTTGAGTTGTGGAGTGGGAAGATACTCACAGATGTTGGAGGAAGGGTAGCTTATGAAATTCTGGCGGGAGGTGTCCGGACAGATTCTGGGCTTTTAATTCTCTGCAGCAGCAGCACTAGTCAAAATACATACATTAACTGAGTTCTCGTAAGAATCCAAAATAGATAATAATAAATCCAAGAAATAGCTTTAGTTTAACATTTTTTTCTCCACTAAGTCACTAACATTGTGTTTGGTATCGAACCATCAATGGTGTTTTTAGTTGCAAGACCTGTTGCTTCGGGCCTGACTTACACTGTATCGGGCTCGGGTTTTGATTTGGGCCATTCAAATTTTGGCAAAAGCCATATTCAAGCGCAGCCCATGAATAGGTCAGTGACCATAGATGCATTTAATAGAAAAACACCAAAAAAGCTGCTTAGTTTAATCATTTATAAGATTAACATGCCTCTCGATTTTTGTGAGAAATGTTTATAAAAAAAGTATCAAATCTGTTTGGTTTCGTTTATTTTTACTTAAATGTTTTATATTTATATGACTGTAAAACCAAGAAAAGTAATTAACGAGGATTTTTATGATACATAAACACTAATAAGCACCACATCAATAAAATGCCAGTAAACACTGAAATGGGAGAAGCACACAAAAACTTTGGATACACACAAATGCAATTAATGAAACATTTGCTAATGGAGCACATATGTGGCACCGTCTGTTTTTTCACTGTTTGACTTATATAACACCTAATGACACTGAGGTATAAAAAAATTGTACAAAACGTTTATAAAATAAACTCCATGGATGCCAAACATCCCTATAAACAAGTATCCACCCTTCATTAGGGTAGCTTATAGATGCCCCCAAGGCGCTGACATATTGAATTTGCTTATCGTTATGGGTGCAACTCAACCCAACCCAGACAAAAAGGCAGGGTTTGAATGGAGATTGGGCAAGTGTCAGGTTGGAAAGTTCCAATGCAACATTTTTTAAAATGTTGGCATGCATCATGGCTTTTACCATCATCCACGGTGGAAAACAACATTTTCTCTTCCATCATTTTAACTATAGTAATATCAGAGTTATGACTTTTGTACAATCTGATTTTAAGTAGGATCTTCTTGCGGTGGACCATACAAAGGTTCCATGTCCCCACACCCCAGCTTTAGCTGTTAACTGCAGTTATCCTTCTTTGTCAGGGAAGGGTAAATTACTCTCACACCTTCTATATTTTCAGAAAAAAAAAATTAAGTTCTTAACCTCTATTGGCCAGGAATGGAAGAGACAGCCTTGTTCGATGCCTCTGATTTCTTAACGCTGAAGTGGTTTCGTATCACTTTCAGCGCTAAAGAGGTGTTCGGTGGCTTTTAACACCGAAGTCTAATTATAGTTAAAGTACAAATGGCTTGGGCCATTATTTAGATTTTACCCATATTGCCCCTCTAATGCTCAATTAGCTTATAACATCTCATATGAAGATCCATCGACCCACCACCAATATTTTATTTTTCCCATAATATTATAATAATATATCATAATATTCATATATTATTATTATTATTATTATTATTATAATAATAGTTTATTAACGATATTATTCATTATCGTCTTATAGTGCTATTAATAATTACTTATATTAATTATTATAACTAATTATTTAGAATATTATTTACCAATTATAATATTATAATGAAACAAATAATTATTTATATTAAATAGTATTATAAATTATGAATAGTAATAATATAATATTAATATAATATTCATAATACTAATATTATAATATAATCATATAATATTACTAACATTATAAATTAATGATTAATATTATAATATTCATTATAATATGTTATAGTAATATTATAATAGAAATTAATTAATTACAATATTAATTATCACCATATAGTTTCATTAATTATTAATTATTAATAATATTTCATTAATTAATAATAATAATAATTCATAATTAAGTAATAATTAATTATTGATAATAGTTATTAATTAATCATAATAATAATAAATTATTATTACTTATTAATAATTAATTAATTATTATTCATAAAAATATGTATTATTTAATCATAAAAATAAATAATTATTGATTAATTAATAATTAGTGATGAATAATTATTGAATTGATTATGAATTATGAATTATTAATTACTAATTAATTGTTAATTAATAATAATATTTCATTAAATAATTAATAATAATAATCCATAATTAAGTAATAATTAATTGTTATTAATTATTATTAATTAATTAATCAATTATTATTAATAATAGTTAATTAATTGTTAGTAATAAATATTAATTATTAATAATAAGTATTAATTAATCATAAAAATAATTAATTATTAATTATTAATTATTAATTAGTGATTAATAATTAATGATTCATTAATTTATTATTAATTAATTACTATTATTAATTATTAATAATTAATATTAGATAATATTTATTATAATAATTTTTAATATTGTTTTTTATTGAATTATATAGATAAATAAAAATTCTCTTATAAGGGGTTAAATTGGACATTTGACATTTTTCAGAATTCAGAATTCAGAATTTAGAACAATATTCTCTACATTCAGAGTTCAGAGGAAAGAAAAGTTCACCAATACCAATATACTTCTTAATGTAATTATTGCACTTTTAAAGGTCAGACGTTAGAGCAAACGAACAAGCCCTTATGTTTTCAAGTTTCAACAGACAATTTTCATCATATCAAACAAAAGTAAGTTTAATAAATGAAAAATGTTGTTAATAATGAACAAAATTGGTAAAATATAAAAAAGACACTTAAGCTATGTTTGGCCTGAGAAAAAAAGTAGGGAAAAGAAGGGAAAGGTTTCCTTCAAACCAAATACAGCCTTAGTATCTAACTCATGATCCATTTCCCGAGTTAGACAGTTTGACCAATTGGGTTATTGGGTCATTAACTCAATCAACATTTTGTTTTAATATTTTTCTTTTTGTGGGTAAACGGTTCAGGGGCTATGTGGGCTGGAATCCTGTTTCATCAACCATTCCCAAATCCCAACTAGCTGCTTCGCCAAAAAAAAAATATATCCAATTAGTATTTAATAAGATGTGTGACGGGTTGATAACATCACTGTTTTCAAAATTGGACCGGACTGGACGGTCGGATCGGAAAAACTGGGAACCAGTTTCGTTTTCCTCCAAAACCGTTTTTTACCCCAAAATCGTTGATTATGGTCAGCAAACCGCTGAACCCGTTGATTAACCGTTTGAACGATTTTGACCATTTTCCAAATTTTTAAACTTTTTTGTTTTTTTGTCAAAACAAACCAACTGTTTAGATCGAATGATCAAACCGTTCAAACCGGTAACCAGACCCCTGACCGGTTCGTTTTTAAAAACCATGAATAGCATTGAAGGACACTATTTAAATTTCTCTTGTTCAAGCTTTATTCAGTTATTGATATTTGATAGCGTTACCATTAGCACTGTTCCCACTTTCAATCCCTTGTCTTGGTTTATCGAAAATGTAGGATGTGCTCAAAACAAACCTCAAAGTTATTATCTTGACTTATCGGATCAATCATCAATATGATTTTTCAAACCTAAACTCTAAAATCTAAATATCTGTTGTCGATATGTCCGAGTGGTTAAGGAGACAGACTTGAAATCTGTTGGGCTTTGCCCGCGCAGGTTCGAACCCTGCTGTCGACGATTCTCATTTTTTCACAATTTCAATTTTTACAACCCCTCAACAAAACTATAACGGGACTCTAGAACATTCAAACATTGTATAACAATTATCATTCTTTCAATTTTACAATTATAATTTTCGAATTTTATAAATTTTTGGAAATATTTATTAATTTAGTATTTTATTTAAATCACAACTATTTTTTAAATAATTAATATACTTTTATTTTTAACATGTAATGTTTTTATTTTACACATAATTTTAAAATAAAACAAATAAATCATTTAAGGTAGATAAAACAAATTATATTTAATTTTCAGTTTTTATTAATTTTTTTGGGAAAATAAAATCTTAAATTATTCATTTCAGTTTTTATAATTATAATTTTCTGTTTTCGGTTAATTTTGTTGGGAAAATTTATTTATTTAGTATTTTTATATAATAACTCTATTTTCCAAATAATAACTCTGTTATCATTTTTAATATATTATATGTAAAATAAAATACATAAATTATATAAGGTAGATGAAATATATTATTTTTATAATTTTTAGTTTTTATTATTTTTTGGAAAAAATAAATCTTAAATTATTTATTTCAGTTTTCATAATACTATTTTTTTTTTAATTTGTATTAAAGATGAAAAACAACCCAAAAGTAGTCAATGGACACATTTGTGAAACTAGACATGAATTCACCTCCATATCGGTGTGTAGAAGTGTAAAGTGGGTTGTGCCAGGTCGGCATGGCATAGCCTGTGAGTAGCTCGCACAAAGTGCGGGCAGCACCGTGCTGGCCCGTGGGCCGTCATGGACCATGCCACCCTCCCCATTGAAAATTTTGGGGGTCGGCCCGACATGGCCCATGGCCCAAGCCCGTGCGGGCCCATGCCATGTCGTGCCACAGGCCGGGCTGGCCCATGAGTCAAGCCTTGGCCCAAGTCGGGCCATGGATCGGGCCAAAGCTATTTTTTCCTATTTATTTAAAAATTTGAAATAAAACTTAAAATTTTAATTTTATATGAATTTTGATGTATACAATTGCTTATATATACAATAATTAATTAAATTAGTATACATTGAAAACAATTGTTTATTTTATTAATATATTATTATATAATTATAATTTATATAATATATTATATATTATATATTATATATAAATATATATAATATATAAAATATTTTATATATAAATAATATATATGGGCCATGTTGGGTCGTGTCGAACCGGGCCGCGCTTGGTTGTGTCATGCCAGCCCGGCCTATGGACCTAAAACCCTAGGCCCAGCACGACAGGGACCATCGTGCCAAGCCGCGGGCGACACAGCCTAATTTACACCTTTATCAGTGTGTATCGGATTGTATCCACTGATACAGTGCGATACGACTCAATACAGAGGCATACCATACTAATACACATGACTCATGGGATATGTACCCAGTCCTAGCGTATTCCCAGCAGCTCAACCCGCTTGGTTGTATCGTATCGACCCGGCGTATGGACCTAAAACCCTAGGCCCAACACGACATGGACAATCATGCCAAGCCTAACATGGCTCAAGTGCCATCGTACCAAGCCACAAGCGACACGGCCGATTTAAACCTCTATCAATGTGTATCGGACTGTATCCACCTATACAATGCGATATGGCTTAATACGGAGACATATGTACTGATTCACACGACTCATGGATACGAGAAATCTTTTCTTTTTGCCAAACTAGAAGCTATGGGCCATGGCCAAACACAGCCCAATCACGAAATATTTTGATATCTGTCGCCAAACATTAAGTAGATATTTGAATTGAATGCTACGCGTCGCATAGGTATAAGTCAGACTGTCAGCGGAACAAGCCAACCGGGTTAAGCGGTAGGGACCCACATTTTGCTTTGGTTGACGTGCACAGCCACAGCTTTTGGTTGCGAGCTATCGCCTACAGCTATGGTGTCCCTACCGGTAAGCGGTAACTGAGCTTTTGGGCGCCCCAGCACCCTCCCACCCTTATCCTCTAGCTCTGTTCTTTAATCCTTCCCCAAATTGAAGAAATCGTTATAGATTTGAACATCAACAAGCTTTAACCATCTCCGCCTCATCTAAAACACAAACATACAGAGAGAGAGAGAGCTTACATGGTGACGACGTGACAGGTGGAGTTGTTGTCGAAGGAGCAGTCGCAGATAACAGACCTAGCAAACCCCTTCATAGTTTCAGGGACATTCCAATTTCCTTCGCCACCACAAGGATCCTCGTCGAAATCCCAATCTCTTTTCCCTAATCCCTTCCCAATCTCCTTCAGTGCCTCCACTGTTTCCGATTTCCACAGAAACAAGTCAACAACCAACCAAAATCAGAAAAATTATCTTAAGTTAGACAGAAACGGGCAAGAGAGACATAGAGAACAAAAATCGGAAGGTCTGTACTACCTTCGGCACTTGTGAGCTTGGGTTTCGATTCTGAGGATGCGAATGAAGTTCCGAAGCAATTCAAAGAAAGAAGACAGAGGAAGAAGAGTCCGGAATAGATCTTTTGGGTGTCCAAATCAGCTCTCATTTTTTGTTACTGAAGAAGCTGTTTCTCCTCTTCTTTCCTTTTTAGTCAAAAACTCTAGGAGCTCTCCAGTCTCCACTTAAAACAGAGAGGGAGTCGGGGAGGGAGAGTAAGACACTGTAAGAGTGTGTGTGGAGAAAACGCCAAAACGGTAATGTTACATTTGTAGAACGTGCGAAATAAACATGTTTTTCTCTCACGTACGTATTGTAGGTTGGTGCCTCGGTGGCCCCCGGAACCGGAATTCAAAGAATCCAAGGAGGTGGGCCCCTGATGGAATTGATTCCAACTTATATACCAATTTTGGTTTTGAGTTTTGTGTCCAGTGGACCAATGATAATGAATTGGAAACCGGATCTGCTCCTCACACAGGCCCCTCACACGCACATCCTACCATGCATTGATAATATCTCTCGTACTTACAAGTTATTTTTAATGAGAGATATTCCCAGTGTACGGTGGATGGATGTGCATGTGAGGCGCTCAACTGTAAGGAGATCTTGTTCAAATGAATTGGGATGTGCTATGAATAATAGTATAGGAGATGTTTCAGATGTATAGTTGAGATATGCTGTGAGGTTGGTGTGAGGAGTACTTTATCAGAAGTAGATCGGAACTCTATGATAGTTGGATTACCCTTAAATCAATTTTAGTTGTTCCAAACATTTTAAAATCCAACCATTTACTTGATAATATATAAAGGAGCTGGTATCTCCTTCAACTCTTTCCACATCCTTACCCACAAGACACTACATGTGCACATGATGACTGTGGGAGATGTTTTAATACACAGCTGTGGTATTTTACTATTACCAAAAAAAGCTGTAGTGTGACTAGTGTCTTACCATTCACATTACATCTGCGCTCCACATGCACATCTCAACATGCATTGAGAACATCTTTTGCACTTGTCATTGGGGGATGTTCCCGATACATGGTTGGATGTGTTGTGGGGCGCCTATGGGGAATAGGGTGCAATTGTCATTGGAAGATGTTTCCAACATATAGTTGGGATGTGCTATGGGTGCCCATAGGGTGCACTCTATGGGGTGCAGTTGTCATTGGGAGATGTTTCCAATACATGATTGGGATGTGCTGTGGGTGTAGGGATGGCAATTTCCCCATCCCCGATGGGGACCCAACCCCATTGAGTTTGGGATGGGGATTGTTTTGGCGGGGTCGGGGACGGGGACGGGGATGAGGATTAATAGGAATCCCCGATTAATACAAAGGTGCTATGAATTTTCTATGTTTTTGTTATATTGTGTAAGGAAATTCCCGATTAATACCGTGCACTTTGAGTCTAGTGTCACTTTGGTCCCCAAATTTTAAAATGCAACAATTCAGTACCCAAACTTTCAAAACGTAACAATCTAGTACCTGTTGTTAATCAGTCGTTAAGTGACATTTTAAAATGATATAAATGTCTTTTGAGTGTCATCTAATTTTCTTTATCAATTATTCAAACATTGACAAAAAAAATTAATAGTCCCAAATCCTTGCCTCTTCTATTCAAGAAAGTTGGGGTTACCAGAATGCCCACTCAAATATAACCCTAACTTTCTTGAATGAAAGAAGCAAGGATTTGGGATGTTAATTTTTTTGTCAACTTTTAGATGGTTGATAAAAGAAATTAAATGATACTTGAAGAACATTTATGTTGTCACTTGATAGTAGATTAACTGTTGATTAATGGTAAGTACTATTGTCAACTTTTGAAATTTCGGATATAAAATTGTCGCATTTAAAGTTTAGGGGACCAAAGTAGCAGTACACACAAAGTAAAAGACACTAATAAGGAATTTGGTAGTGTATAAGATAATTTACATTAAAAGCTTGCTATATTAGCATATAAACAAATTTACTAATTATGAAGGTTATTTTGTCAAAAATGAAATTTTAAATTGTTATATTACAGATGATTATAGATGCCGAATCTAATCGGCCTAATTGGCAATTGGGTCAGAACGGATTATCCCAACTGCCCAAGTAATAATCAATTGAATTCTAGCTTGCTAGGTCTGGTTTTATAGAACTAATACGATCTGCATAGTTAATTTATAGGTTTGGGACCGGGCCACCATGTCCCGGGTCAGACCCGATCCATTGACAGATGTACCTATCCTAGCAGTTGCATTTATGACGGATTAGTAGTTAGTTGGCTGATGATTTTACTCTTTTTAGGACCGTTTGGTTACAGAGAAACTCAATGTTGTCAAACATCTCTTTACAAGACTTAACACCCAAACACCCCCCAAGTGTGAAAGAGGTGGACCCCAGACCTAATGCTCACCCATAAAGAAACATTAAATGCCATATTCAAAACTTTGACTCCAGCAGTCAAATTCTCCAAAAATAATAAATTAATTCAAATATAGTTGACCGAAGTTTCAACTTTCAATAGTTTTCAGAAATTCTGAATACGACCAAACCCGCTTGTAAACTTGGGCTTATCTTCAAGTCCTACGCGTTTTAGGATTTCTGCTTTAACATTTGCCGATTTTCTTTTTCTTGAATACCTTCTTGATAGTGAGATGTCTCCTTTTAGTACCACGGTTATTACTCTCTCCTGCAAAAGGTAATGTCCACATACTTGATTGACCAGAACCGTGGAGTTGCCTTGATAGTGAGATGTCTCTTTTATTTTAACGTTTTGGGTAACTGCAATTTTGGGGTTTAATATCAATAAATATGATATTTTTAAAAAAAATTAAAAAATATGTTAACTTTTTAAAAATAATATCAATAAAGGGCAAAAATGCTGTTCATCATCTTCTTCTTGCCATTTCTTCACCAGCACCGCCGCCCGCCACTGCCGTCCACTGTCGCCCGTTGCCTCCGCCCATCTCCGCCTTCGCACATTGCCGGAGGCAGAGGTGGCAGCAGCGGCACTGGTGGTCATTCCTCTGCCCAGCGCCGCCACCACCTCTATCTCCACCCACCTCCGGCAACATTGTCAGAGGCGGAGGCGAAGGTGGGCGGAGGTGGCGGCGTTGGGTAGAGAAATGACCACCTCCGGCAATGTTGTCGGAGGCGGGCGGTAGCGGACGGCAGTGGCGGGTGGTGGCAGACGGCAACGCTGGTGAACAAATTGCAAGAAGAAGATGATGAATAGTATTTTTCCCCTTTATTGATATTACTTTTAAAAGTTAACCTATTGTTGAATTTTTTTTAAAAATATTACTTTTATTGATATTAAACCCCAAAAATTGCCCTTATATGCTATTATCTCTAACGTTTTGCCCAATGGTTAATTGAATAATTGTTAGAGATCGGATCTGTTCCTTACACCTGGTGCCTCACACGCACATCACAGTGAATGTGTCTATGAGGCGCCCATTTATGAGGAGCAGATCCCGTCACTAATTGTTATTGCTTTTATGGTGCTTATTTGTTGGTAAATTATTTTATTATTACTTTTTTTGGTTTTACAAATAAATCAAATACAAATGTTTAAATATATACTTGAACATGGAATGAAACGGGTCCACCTCAACTGTAGAGTGGCAATCAAAGATCAAAATTTCATCATATAGTGGGACATACCGGGTGTATTGTATCGGCCCCATTCCCGTTCCAATATGGGAAATATTAAATATTTTAATATAATCAAGAATAGAACTCGCTAAGACCGGCCCTCGATAAAATTTTGAAAAAAAAAATGAAGAAAGGGAGAACGTGCGGCGTCGGCCTCAGCCCGATACGCAAAATATTAAATATTTTAATATTTTAATATAACCAAGGGTAGGCCTTGTTAATACTGCCCCTGTAAAATTTTGAAATAAAGGCTCAGTTTGATAAGAGTACAGATATAAATATATGTAGAATGCAAAACTTTATATTTTGTATTGGTCAAAACCTCGATATGCACATGTATAAGTGTATCTTGGACTTTGACAAATAACTTGGGCTGGAACACCATAATCCGATCTAAAAATTTAGATTGATTCGAGCTGAGCTGACGATTAATGCGGGGTTAGGGCTGAAAAATTTTAAATATTCAAAAGTACTTTTACCAATCAAACCACTCCCTCCTTGGGTTGGGATCGGGTTGGTCCAATTTCTTTTATTTCATTTTAATCAAAATGCCAAAAGTACTTTTTACCAATCAAACCACTCCTCCCTTGCATTTTGATGAATACCGGTTGATTGATTACTATTTATATGGTTTTACCAATCAAACCACCCCTCCATATATCCCCTTATACTGTTGGGGTGTTTCAATTAACTACCTAAATTTCATTTTTTTTTTGCCAAATTCCCCCGTGAGTGATCCAAAGTTAAGCAAATATGCACGGTCGTTAACATTCCATAATGTAAATAGTGAATATAGAATGGCCCTATATACATGGATAATTTTAAATGCCTAAAATACCCTTGTAGACAACTTTTTTTCTTGAATAGAGATTATGTTTTCTTTAGTGAGTAGGATTGTATTAACTAAATAGAAAGCTTACAAAGCCTCCACTGGGGAGTATCAGTCATATCTATCCAAAAAAAAAAAGAAGACAAAATTGTCTTTGAAGACCTTCATTTGGTTAAAAGAGATGAGCTATATATAGTCTTGTTTAAAATTGTAAAGTGAATAGGTAGGGTTGTCAATGATATTTTTATGATGCATCTGAATTGCAATTGGGAGTTTATTTAATGAGCACAATCAAATGAAATGTTGAAACTATATGAGTAATGGAGTTTCCATACCTAGAATGAAAATAACTGACCAGATCCATTTCCTTGATTCCTGCCCCGTGAGATCCCCAATAATATACATCCCCGTCCCCGTTAACGGGGAAGAAAATTTCTCCATCCCCATCCCCATCCCCACAGAGGGGAAATCATCCCCATCTCCACCCCATTCGGGGTGGATCCCCACGAGGATCGGTGAAATGGGGAAAATTGCCATCCCTAACAATAATAAGTATGATAAATAAGAAATGTTTTTTATTAATGATGGAAATGGAATGTAAAATTTAAAACCAATTGGAAATAAAAATATTTTCCTTTTCTCTCTCATTAAATCATATATTTAAGATATACTTTTCTCATCTTTAAATTCTTGTAATTAAATCCACAATATTAATTTTAATAGTATAAAAATAAATATTTTGAAAAGTTATTTGA